TTTCTTTATGTCCCAAATACAAGGGAAAATAGGTATTTTGTGGAACACTTAAAGTTTAACCTGGAGGGAAGGGGTCACTGGAAACACATGTCCTATTTGTCAGTGATAATTCACAGTGAGTATGTTATTACAGAGATTGGTGTCCTTTGAGGATGTGACTGTGGACTTCAGCCAGGAGGAGTGGCAGCACCTGGACTCCGCCCAGCGACGTCTGTATCAGGACGTGATGCTGGAGATCTACAGCCACCTCTTGGCAGTGGGTGAGCACAGCCACCTGGGGATCCAGGGTGGTCCTACTTTCCGTATTTCTCTTTTCCAAACATAGCGGAATACCAAGTCTTCTATGAATTTTTCCCTTTTATCTTGATAAACTATCCTCTTTGGATATTTCCATGTGTTGTTTTGTGCTGCCAGTAGTGAGTTTGATTCGTGGAGCCTGCATGGTAAAAGGCAAGGCCGACTCCCCCAAGCTGTCCTTTGAACTCCACACACACGCCATGGTATGTGCAGCACATGCAAGTGCACACACACACACACACACACACACACACAGTGTAAATGCGGGTGTGGGCATATATTAAGATTTTTATGGGCACGGGTGTTTCACCTTCCTATCTGTTTATGCACCGTGTGTTGTGCAGTGCCTGTGAAAGCCAGAAGGTGTCAGATTCCTTGGAACTGTAGTGGTAATTCAGTTGCCATGTGGGTGTTGGGAACCAAATCTGGGCCATCAACAAGTGTTCTTAACCACTGAACCATCTGTCCAGCCCTACCTCCTCTGTGCATATATGTATGTGTGTAATTTTTTTATAAAAATAAAGAATAACTATTTGAAGGTGTAGGTTTATTGCTCAGTGTGGAATACTTGTGTTTAGCGTGGGTGAGGCTCTGCTTTAATCCTCACTACCATAATAAAGAAAAAGAAACCTAACCAAAAACCAGATGAGAAAAAGGACAAAGGACATGAATATGTATTTCTCCAGAGCTAATGAAGTCTTCTCGGCAGCCTGTTCTTTAGGTCTTATCTGTCTGCCGGCAATGCCTTGTCAAAGTCCTTCCTATTTACTACATCTGTATGGCTAGGGCTCTTATATGTTGAGCTGGGTATCTTTGCCCAAACCAAATCTTCTTCTCACAAATCAGCTAAGTGATTTTGCTCACTCACTATAGCTCCCAATTTCTCACATATAAAACAAGAGAGTAGATGTGGCTATTTTGGGGATTGAGTTCGTGTGTCCGGTGCATACAAAGTTGCCTAGTACACATGGGTGCTGTATTCGTGAAGTTTGGTATGTAATAAAGGATATTGTAGTGTATCTTACCATGGTCATCCACGTGATGAGCGTGACTACTGCCTGACTCAGATTTCTCAGTGTTCAGATTCAGTTCCATGTGATCGCCCCTCCGTCCTGTTCACTGTGCCTGTTCATCGCTTTCTCTTCTCTCCAGGTGAATTGCAGCTTGACACACCACATCAGCCAGTTTTTGTGAGAGCGTCATTTCTGAATGATGCACCCAGTGAAGCCCCAGGACATGGTTCATATTGTACCGTTCTGGAGAGACTGTGGCAGGACGGCAGCAGTGCTGTGAAGACACATCAGCAAAGCCAGGTCCTACCCGTCAGCCCTGGTGCTTGCCGAAACCAGAAGCCACTGAACACGGACAGTGATGGGGACTCTGGAGAAGCTGGAGAATCTCTTCTCTCGGGACGCCACCTCATTTCTACAAAATGTGCACCTCCGAGGTGTTTCTCATTTGCAAAAAGGTTGAAACCTAACCTTGAAGCATATAATGACGATCAAAGCAATGCCACAGAGCAGGCTAGTGATGTTATTGGATCTCATCAGTTTTTAACGCAAGGCTCTTCTAACAGTGTGTGTACAGTACCTCTTCAGAGAGAGAAATCATACAATGACAGTCAGCTTGGAAACAGTCTTTCTCCCAATCCACCACTTACAGAGCATGGGATTCCTTTTCAAGACAAAGCAGTTGAATATCCTGGGTGCGGGAAAGTCCTCACTGATGAGTCGGCTTTCTGTCAACAACAAATAACCAACAATATGGAGACATCTTTCATCTGTCACACATGTGGGAAAACCTTTCTCCACAAGTCTCAGTTGGTCTCCCATCCAGAAACTCATAGAGAAGAGACACCTTATGAATGTCCTGACTGTGCAAAATCCCTGAGGGGTATGTCCAGCCTGCACGTGCACCGTGAAGTCCACACAAAGGAGAAACGGTATGAATGCCATGTGTGTGGGAAGTCATTCAGCTATACATCCCACCTAAAGGTGCACCTTCGAACACACACTGGTGAAAAACCTTACGCATGTTCTGACTGTGGGAAAGCCTTCAGCCAAAAGTCGGTCCTCACCATCCATCAGAGAATCCACACTGGGGAGAAGCCTTACACGTGCAGTGACTGTGGGAAAATGTTTGTTTGTGCATCAGATCTGACAAAGCATTGTCGGTTTCACACAGGAGAGAAGCCTTATGAATGCCCCGACTGTGGGAAATCTTTCAGTATTAAGTCCAACCTGCTTGCCCATCATCGAATCCACACCAGTGAGGGACCGTACAAATGCTTTGACTGTGGGGAATCATTCAGGAAAATATCCCAACTGAAGGTACATCATCAGATTCACACTGATGGTAGAGCTTTTGTGTGTTCTGACTGTGGAATGGCCTTCAGCCAGAAGTCAGTTCTCATCACACATCAGAGAATTCACACTGGGGACAAGTGTTACCCATGCGGTGACTGTGGGAAGTTGTTTCTTTATGCTTCCGATCTGAAGAAGCACTGTCGCGTCCACACAGGGGAGAAGCCGTACAAATGCCATGACTGTGGGAAATCGTACAGTGTGAAATCACACCTCCACGTGCACCACCGAATCCACACTGGTGAGAGACCTTTCAAGTGTGAAGACTGTGGAAAATCCTTCAGAAGAAACTCTCACCTGCAAATGCATCAGCAGACTCACACTGGTGAGAAGCCCTACAAGTGCTCTGACTGTGGGAAGTCCTTCCGGAGAGCATCCCACCTGAAGGTGCATCATCGAATTCACACCGGGGAGAAACCTTACGTGTGTTCTGAGTGTGGGAAGGCCTTCAATGATAGGTCAGTTCTCAGCACACATCAGAGAATTCATACTGGAGAAAAGCCCTACATATGCAGCGATTGTGGGAAGGCCATGTCTTCTAAAGCCAACCTCAAAGAGCATCAACGAATTCACACAGGCGAGAAGCCATATGTGTGTGCTGAATGTGGGCGGGCCTTCAGTGATAAGTCTTCTTTCTATAGACACTGTAAAATTCACAGTAAGGATAGACCTTTTGTCCATAACAAAGGTGAAAAGGGCTTCCTGCAGAATTCACAGGTGACCACCTATGAGCAAACTCACAGTGCAGAGAAACTATAATGACTCTCTGTCTATGGGAAATCTACTAAAGATGTATCATCAAGGTCATACATACTACCATTACTGAAGCTGTGGGATGCTATTGGTGCACTCTCCACACCGTACTGGGAAGAGACATTATTCGTGTTGTGAATGCAGAGAGTCCTTCAAATTCATGTCATTTCAGTAGACTCAAGTGCTCATACCAGACAGTCTTCCTCAAGACACCTGATCATATAAAAGAATTTATTGTAGAGTCAGTTCCTCATCCATAGCCCTCATCAAAATATTCTTGGTTTTCATGAAAAAATATTTTATCACAGACCTAAGTAGGACTAGGGAGATATCACACTCAGTTGGTAAATTCTTTGTCTTCTGGATACCAGAGGCACACACATACATTCCATGGGTATCTACACACAATACATACACAACCCTAACTATATAAGCCATAGGTCATAGTTTAAACATATAAATAATTATATGTGAGCAAAGTATTAATGAACTTGTAGGAAGAAGCACAAATGTTTCCTTGCATGAAGAAATGCTGATTTGAGGTAAACCTTCTATAGTTAATGGTACAAAGTTTCTAGACTACAGGAAAGTTTGTTGGAAATTACATGAATGGTTTCTCTGTTTATTGTGGGATACCATTTTTTTTTTTTCAGACAGGGTCACACTATGTACTTGAGGCTGTCCTGGAACTCACTATACAGACTAACTCAGAGAGATCCGCCTACCTCTGCCGCACAAGTACTGGGATTAAAAATATGCACCACTATGCCTGGATGGATGATAATATTTTTAAATGTCAAAAACATTTTTCATCTCTGTCTAGGAAGGATATAGTTCCTGGACTTGTCCATAGCATGGTGGCCAGCAGACAAAGTGACCACTTTTGACTTCCAAGGTCTTTCAAAGGATTCTCACAACCACGTCCAGTCTCAGGGACCTGGAGACCATCACCTTCAGGGTGCTATTTGAGAGAGATACAAGATCTCAGAATGTTCATGAACCCATGTTAGTGCCTCCCCAGTGCTGGTGTGAGTGATGCTCCTCCATAACTTAGGTTCTTCCAGAACCTCGGGGGTGTGGCCTTGTGGACATGGCTTCTTTGTAGAGGTAACTTAGGTACAGACATACTTGGTCAGACTTGGTCCTAAATCTGATGAATATCATTCTTTGAGAAAGTCATGAAGACTCAAAAATTTTGAAAGATGGTACTATAGAGTCAGGGGTTTTCATGACATATCTCCAAGCCATGGAATGTCAGCAACAGAAGCTAGAAAAACTTTCTTGGGAGTTTCCAAAATTAGCCATCCCTTGGTCAGTGCCTTGATTTCCAAATTCAGGTCTCAAACATGGTGAGAAAATCAGTTCCTGTTGTTTTGCCAACTATTCTAAAACAATCTAGGAAAATCAAAGTTGTGTAGAGGGCTCTGGGATGCCCACATATACTCAAGGCTTGCCTGTCCTCCAGATACATTTCTGTCTGTCTGTCAAGACAGGGTCTCTCTGTGTAATAGCCCTAGCTGTCCTAGAATTCACTCTGTAGACTAGTCCGACCTTGAACTCACAGAGATCCGCCTGCCTCTGCCTCCCAAGTGCTGGGATTAAAGGCATGCACCATTGCCATCCAGTTTTTTCTTTAGTCTTTTTTTTTTTTTCTCATTTACTGTTCCTGAATTTCCTGAGCCTCTTTCTCCTCACTCTGGTTCCTATGTTTTTAATTCCTTTCATTGAGCTTATCCCATGTTGTTATCTTCCTATGGAACTCTTAACCTACCAGATGTCTATTCTTTATGCTTATCAAACCACCTGTGTCCCTCATTATCTCACTGAGGCCCTCTAGACATGAATATTTCCTATTATGTTAAACCATGTGTTTCTTGTTGTTTATTTCAGCTTTGTCTGTTTCTTTAAGACTGGGCCTCATGGAATCTAGCCTAGAATCTGATTTACTGTATAACACAGGATGGCCATGAAATCTTGAGTCTTCTGCTTCCACCTCCCAAGTACTTGGATTACAGGGTGTGCTACTACCTTGACCAGATAGTATATTTACAAAAGACTTTCAATATATTGTCTCCCGCGCAACATGTACACAATGTAAATCTGATTACCCTGTTGAAAGGTGAGTCTGTCCCTACTATCTCCAAGCTCAATAGGATTTTATCCTAGTTTCAATGAGTAAAATAATAACAGAAGTAACATGGTGTTTGAGGCCACACTAAAAGCAGCAGAGCATCAACATTGCTAATCTGAATGCTTGTTCTTGAAGTCTTCCTCTGCCATTTAGTGATTCAAGTCATGTTGAGGCCAGTATACTATGAGAAGAAACCAACTGAGTCAATGTAGAGAGGCCCAGAAATTAACATTAAAGACATGAAGATTGATCCAGGACATCATTCCTATGGTTGGGATTCTAGGGGAGCCTTATCAACTGTATGGAAAACTAGTACCATACCACAGTCACTCAGATGATCCTAAGTCCCTTACTTAACATAAACCTTGAAAGGTAACAGCAACTGTAGAACATTAAGATTCGCCTTGATTTGTTGTGTTTCAGCAACAAGTAACCAGAATATTCTCCCTCGTCTGCACCCACCATGCCTATTCCTCTGTGTTGTGTTCCTCGTGGATTTGCCACTCTAAGGGGTGGTTAGAGGTGGGAAAGACCTGCAAGTTTAGTGCCTTAGGGTGAAGTGATGGGGCAGTGGACAGTTGGGCAACTCCTCACTAACGTCCATGGGTTAGACTGGGTTAGGCATTCCAGAGGAATTCCTGCCCAGCAATGCCAGTACTCATCTTTGGCCTACGTTCTGTTGGGAGGTGTATAAAGGAAGTAAAGTCTCTATTAGAAGGATGCATAGACAAGTACCATGTGCACCCAGAAATGACACAGGACACCTGCGCTGCTACATCCTGGAAAGTGTCACAGAAGCTCATCCTTCCTGTTGCATATATCTCTCAGTTTAGTCCGCCCTGTGAGAGACCTGCACCCAGCGCTGTCTTACTGGTCTTGAAGACATCACAGAGATGAGGCCAGAGTGAAAACAGCCCAAGATGCTCAGTGCAACACTGTAAACTGCCTATCGGTATATGTCCAGCGTGTTGCTTTCCATCCTGGCCCTCGCCAGACCCTCAGTAATTACTTTTCCTAGTAAACAACTCAACATGAATTCTGATGTGTAAAGCAGGAATTATGACCATTGGCCATGCTGGGTTGTAGTACTAGAACATTCATTATGCATAGGCTAGGCTGTGACACCAGTTCAGCAGACTCTGGCATGAAAGCATCCCATGACACTTGTGCTGAATGTGAATGCCCACTCATCCCACCTCCAGTGGTGGTCCTATCACTCAGCTAGTCCCCCGTGCACACTATCGTCTATAATGGATGTGTCTGTCTACAACCTTCTATCAGAATAAACACTTGCTGAGGGAGGGCTGAGGACTCACTTGTGTATCTCTAAGAACCCAGGACCCAGCTCTGACTTCTCCAAACAAGGTCTTCATCTTGGAGCAGCATTCAAGGTGGAAGATAAAACAGCTCAGGAAGCAGACCTTGATGGCCACCACAATTTCATCTGCTCTAGTGGTCTGGTTTCCCTGTAGATATAGATGAGGCTGATCAACTGCTAGCTGTAACCTGAATCCTTTCTCTTAACATCAGAATGAAAGAGAGAGAGAGAGAGTTCTCCAGACCTCCCTTTATCTCACCAGCTCAAATGTCACCCAACCTCAAGTCCAACTACTAAACAACTACAGAAAAAGGAATTCTCACGTTTTATGCTTAACACTGGTGTCTCATGGTTAATCCTCAGTATAAAAAGCAAAACAACAAAACCAAAGTGTTTGTACTGCATTCAATAGGCAGAATCATACCTCTTTGATATCCATCAAGAATTGTTGACACATCATGAACAACATGGCCATGATTCTCAGAATGACACATGATCCAGCTATGTCTTCCATTTAGAAATTGACCTAAAAGATATACATACATAATAAAATACAAGATCATTGACTGCACATTTCTTTAGGAGAAATCAGTTGTAACTGCCCATTGGTACAAGATTGCCACACACTTGGGGCCCATTAATACACTGGGTTTCTTGGTCATGGGAAACAGGGACAATCTGTGATACAAACATCCAGCCTCACCTTTGACTCTCCAGTGGACAAACCCAGAATCAGGATAAGTTGTACAGAAATGGGTCACTTTGGGAGAGAACTGAGCCAAACACGAAGTCTTCTGAGTGCTGCCCATGCGATTCTGTTTCCCAGAACAATCATTTAAGCTATTGACTAATAAAGATCTGAGACTGGGGCCGACTCAGATGGGTCAGAGTGGCCTGAAACGTGTAGTTCTTATGTGTGTGCCTCTGGTGGCAGTCATCCAGGGGGGTGACACGCAGCTGGAGACAGATGACCTGGCAGCTCACACGTCTACATGTGGTGACATTAGTTATGAACCAGGGTTACTCTGTCTCCAGGGTTAATGGAGGGTGAAAAGTGACCATCTGGACTGAGGTGAAAAGGACTGGCTCCTTAGCTCAACAGGAATCCCTTCTACCTCAGCCTGCTCCTCTTGAGATATAGATTTGGGGATTCTATATGGCATCTTGAAGAGTAGAGAATTCCCATTGTTAGGTAAAGATGAGAAGGAAGTGTACACTACCACTCCACACACAAATGCAGAGGGATAGGACATGGACCCTGTTCTGTCCCCTCAGCTGCACCTCCAGGAAATAGACAACCTTCAGTTCGCAGCACTGGTTCCCCTTTCTCTCCCAACCTCAGGCACTCAGTGTCATGACATCACACAAGAGTCTGACAATTCTGTCTGTGGTTACACTGGTCCCAGGAGAGGTCACTAGGCAGATAATCTGGTGTCATGGTTCTAATTCGTGGTGAACATCATCACTAAGAGCTGGATGTTTTTTAGGGCCCAGGTAAGGTAGCTGCCATCCAGAATGTTAGGTTGTCCCTTGCTCACAGATACAGCACAAGGGAGGTTGGGATACTGGCACAGCTGGGCTCTTAGCTTCTCCAGGATGTGGGTGTCAGGTTCTGTGTCCATCCAAGGAAGAGAAGCAAAGGTAGAAGCCCTTGTATGTAACAAATGTGCCCTAAAATTCAGTGTATGCCTAAGCCAACTGTCTTCTGCCAGTCTGGCTAGTCCCCTCTGGCCCTGCCCTGGCAATCCTTGGGACCCCACTTATGACCTTATTCCTTGCTCACTATGCACACAGTGCTAGTTCTCCTAATTGGTCATGAAAGGGCCTTCCTCTTACGTACCTTTTCCGTGCTCACATGAGACAGGGGCTAGGTTTTACTCTCAGTTCCCTGAAGAGGTGGAGTGGACCTTGCATTGATTGATCTTTGTTGGATGTAACCCCAGGAATGGTGCAGTCTGGCCCTATCCTGAGTCCATTAGCCACAGATGAATCATGGAAGGAGTGAAGGGTGGGACAGAGCAAACTGCATGGCATGAAGAGTCACAGACCCTTTGTATAGTCACTTAGGTTGACACTTTTGGGGACTAAGCTAGCTGGGTGGCCTGGAAGAACAAGCGACTTTTTTCCCTACAAATTGGTGCCCACGTGGTCAACTAAATCCACATAAAAAAACATAAAAAAGGTTGAAAAGGAACTCTAGATACTGAAAAACAAAGTTTAGCCTCTTTTTGTGTGTGTGTGGGGGGGGGGGGCTGGCGGCATGCTGCAGATCCTTTAAGAGAGGTTTTCCTGATTCAGCTGTAGCAGGAAAAAAGCCATGCGGTCCATAGTGTCTGCATCAGCTCCTGCCTCCAGGATCCTGCCTTGTTTGAGTTCCTGTCCTGACATCCTTCAATGATGAACAGCAGCAACAGGGAAGTGTAAGCCAAATAAACACTTTCCTCCCCGGCTTTCTCTTGGGTCATGGCTTTTGGTCACAGCAATATAAACCCTAAGACAGTTTTCAAGTGGTTTAAATAGAAAAAAGACTGCCCAAGCCTTTTATTGTTTTTTTTTCCCTTGGATTTCCCAACTTTCTGTCCTGCCTCAACTTGATATGCCAGACTTTATTGACTCCCCATGGGATGCCTTACCCTTTCTGAGGAATGGATGAGTGATTGTGTGGAATGAAGGTGGGAGGGAGCAAGAGGAGGGGAAGAAGGAGGGACTGTGGTTGGTATGTAAAATTAAAAAACACAATTTTAAATAAAATTAAAAAATAAATAGAAAAAAATATTTTTTTCTTAATGCCACTGAATAAACTTGTCCTGCATAAAGCAAGTCAAGCAACCTATCATGTTGTAAAACTATTTGAGCTAATAAATCTACCTGTTGGTAGTTTTTGGTTTATTCGGTTTTAACAGATACTTTTCCTGGTATGACAATAGGCATATAGGTGGCCATTTTCCCCTATGCAAGGGAATTTCCTTTTGAACTAACATCCCAGTCCTTTGTAGAGAACAAGGGGTGATGTGCTTTCTTCTGTAACTACTTCTTGCTGAAATTAGGACATTGTTGTCAGGGCCCAGGAAGGATGGGATGCTAGGCAAAGGCCGGGAGGGCATTCAGGTAATGGGGCACTCATCAGAAGCATTTGATTAGCTGACCCAGCTGAAGACACAGGGAGCAATAACATTGGCTGGACTGGTTTGTATCAGCATCCAGCAAGTCCAGGGCTTGGAGCCATTTGGAGCAGTTTGTAGCCCACAGCTGATTTCTGGTTAGGATCTGTCAGCTGAGTGGAAATCTACTAAAATATATATATTTTATATGTGTGTGTGTGTGTGTGTGTGTGTGTGTGTGTGTGTAACCACACATACATATATACATAGACTAAGGATAGATTAAAGTTTAGGAATATAAAGGAAAATCTTACCTTTGGAACTTTCAGGCCCATGGTCCTGTTAGTTGAAGAGAAGAAGTCCCAAGCCTAGAGGGGAGAGAGATCACCTTCAAGAATAGGCAGGTAGGGAAATTTAGTCTGACTTATCTGGAGACTGTTTGACTTGTGAGAGGTAGATCCAAGTCTTATGCCTCTCTCAATTCTCTGGAGCTTACATGACAATTTTTTGTTCACAAGAAGACACAAAATTTTAAATATATTAATATTACAGCCTTTTGTAGTCTATACTGAAATGCACACTGTAGAAAAATCACCTAATGCTGCCACCGCTTTGCCTAATAACAGAAGTTTTGGGATAAAAAACGCCTTTAATCCCAGCACTTGGGAGGCAGAGGCAGGCAGATCTCTGTGAGTTCAAGACCAGCCTGGTCTACAAGAGCTAGTGCCAGGACAGGCTCAAAAAAAAAAAAACCACAGAGAAACCCTGTCTCGAAAAAAAAAAAAGTATGAACTTTTTCTCTGTCGTGAGAGCTAAAAATATAGATTGGCTAGAGATATTTTTATCTGATGAGAAGTCTACACCCTTGAGTCTACACTTAGAAAACAACTGAAGGAAATTTAAAATTTTGAACTTGTGACTGATAATAGTAGTTGGTGCTTTATTGGCTTAACTAAACTCCATTGATCAGTATTAAAACTCTGAACCTTCAAAATGGGGGGGGGGATCTGAAACATTTTCATTACCTTAGATTACTTGGATTTTTGTTTGTCCAGTTTTTGTCTGTTGTTTTGTTTTTTGAGACAGGGTATCTTTATATAGCCATGGTTATCCTGAAACTAACTCTGTAGGTTAGGCTGGCCTTGAACTCACAAAATCCACCTACTCCAGCCTTATGAGTGCTGGGATTAAAGTACACCACCTCTATCAGCCTCAGATTACTTTTTTATACTTGTACAACTCGCATTTATTTATTTTAAAACACTAGCATTTCATATCCTCAGACACTTTCTTAGAACTTACTTAAGAAGTTACTTAAACTTTCTCCTCCATAGACATTTATAGAATTTCCGTAGACCTTCAGGACTTACATAAGCTTCCACATTTTCCTTCTAACCATTTACCAAAGACACAAGTCATTCTTACTGAGAGCAGTCATTTCAAAGCAAGTTCCTTTAAATCCATTTGTTTCGTTTTGCTTTGCTTTCTCTATCACAGTCAGGTGGCCTTCCTGACATGGGACAGAGATTTTGGAGGACATCTTTAGACAAACATGCTTGGGTCTAGAGGAATTAGAGCCATAACCCAGCCTCAGAGCCAGCTTTCCAATGAAGGAGAACAGCATAAAACAATTTTAATATTATCCATACTCAAAAGACATTTGAATCCCTGCTAAGCTGAATCCAGTGACGAGAAGGCCCAAAGATAAATTCTGAGCCCTGGCCATCAAAGCAGCCATGACAGGTGGCATTGGCAATGGTAGCTGGTGACTGGCAATGGCAGGAGAAACAAAAACACGACCAATAAAGACAGAACACAGAAATGTCACCCACTCAAAGGAGACCAGTCAGAAACAAAACATTCAGTTGTCACGATCATTCACACATTCAATTGAGCCTGACCCATTTACAACTCAGCTCCTGTATTTGCCACAAGACTTATGGACACATCAGAAACCACAGATCCACCCACATGCACAAAACAGACACAACTTTCCAAACAGCCAGAACCAGGTGGGTAGACAAAGTCTCACTTTTTACTCTGGACAGGAGTGAAAGGATTTTATAAATGGATGGCAAGAGGAGGAAGAAAGCTATTGTCTTAGTTAGGGTTTCTACTGCTGTAAAGACTTTGGCAACACTTATAAAGGAAAAACATTTAATTGGGTGACTTACAGTTTTCAGAAGTTTAGTCCATTATCATGGCGTGACACTGTGGCATGCAAACAGACACAGTGCTGGAGAAGTAGCTGAGAGTCCACACATCTTGACTCACAGCAGGAAGAAGAGGTTTGAGGCTGTGGAGGTGATTTGAGCATATATGAGACCTCAAAACCCACTTTCACAGAGATACACTTCCCCAACAAAGCCACGCTTCCTAATAGCACCACTGCAAGTGTGACAGCTCTGGACGGAAAGGTATCCTGACTGTCAGAAGTCAGGCTACACCTTCAAGTGTGACAGCTCTGGAGGAGAAGGTATCCTGACCGTCGGAAGTCAGGCTACACCTTCAAGTGTGACAGCTCTGGAGGGAAAGGTATCCTGACTTGTCAGGAAGTCAGGTTGTATCTGAAACTGTGAAGGGAAGGTATCCTAGATACCTAAAGCTCTGAAGGGAAAGGTATTCTGACTTACCTGAAGCTTGGTTCTGGTGGGGGATGGTCTCCCTACAGGATGTGGCAATCCTGCTCCTCTCCAACAGAGAGCCACTACAGCTGAGCTCTGCTCCACTCTGCTAAGAGGGTTTCCCAGCAGAGATGTCTGTTTCTTCTCAGCTCTGGCCCAAATTTTTATTTCTTCTGCTATAGTCTGCTAAGGGGGAAATCCCTGCAGAAATGTAGCAATCTGATCTGGCTCTAGAAAAGAAGTTGTTACTTCTGCAGCACTCCCCAAGAAGTTTCCCAGCAGAGGGGTCTTCTGGGAAGACATTGCTTCTCTGTTCCCCTCCATTAGGGAGTTTCCCAGCAGAGGGGTCTTCTGGGAAGACATTGCTTCTCTGTTCCCCTCCATTAGGGAGTTTCTCAGCAGAAATTCTTCTCTGCTCCACCAAAAGGTCTTCACCCAAACTCTTTCACGAGACTTATTTGGGAATCCAGGAGAGTGGCTGCCTCTGCCAGGGTGGAAAAGGACAGCTGCTAACTGAACTTATATAAGGTTCTTAGGGACAGAGTTTTTCCAGGGAGATTTTCAGGGAGGGAATTGGTCAGATTTCAATCCCCTTGGACAAACTCAGATTGGCTAGATTTCATGCCCAGGGATTAGTTTCTTTTCTGCTCAGGAATTGGTTGGTTTTCCTACTCAGGGATCCGATCATTTCATGTTCAGTTGGTCAGGGGCAGATTTGGCTCTGGCTTCAGAAACAAAGTGTATTTTTCACTGGTCCTCTTTAACCTTTTGGCTCTAGTTTCAGGGCAAGGGTATGTTTCTTTCACTGGCCCTGATTCCAGGGCCAAAGTATGTTTCTTTGGCTGTAGTTTCAGGGTCAGGGTATGTTTCTTTGGTTCTGGTTTCTGGGCCAAAGTGTGTTTCTTTTACTGGCTCCGGGTTCAGGGTCAGGGCCTTTAGCTGGCCCTTTTACGCTACAGCCACTCTCTTTGGGGGACATTCTCTTTCAAAACTGTCTCAGTTATATTCATGGATCCAGCTGGGAAGCTGGCAAAGGGAAAAGGTATGTTGGATTGTGTACTTTGGATGAGAGGAGAGGACTGTCCCAGCAAACCTGGGTCAAACAGATGGGGGAAGTGAAGGAAATATGGGGTGACACTTTGGCAAGGAAGTTCCCATCTCAGCAAGGGGACAGGACAAGTTGGTACCACTATGAAGGAGTGGGTAATGGGACACCCCTAAGGATACAACTAAGTGGTGGGGTTTGGTGAGGTTGTTTAGGCTGTCCCCTATCCCAACAATAGGGAAATGAGAAAGGGAACTGGGTCCTCAAAACTCTGTCAGGACCAAGTAGGTAACCCGTGTCCAGAAGGAAGAAGGTGGGTTGTCCTGATACTGTGATGAGTACCTGGGCTCCATGTCAGAGATGGTGGTAGTTGGGCCAAGGGAGCCCTAATCCCTCAGTCATCTATGGTAAGGCTTAATAGTTTGGCTAGATGGCAATCTGGGCCTGATGTCCTCATATTATAAGGGTGAGTCAACAGCCCAATGTCCCTTTTTATGACACCTTAGGCATGGTTAAGGTGGTTTACAAGGGCTCAGGCAGGCCAGGCCCCAGTGAACCTCCTGATCACATCTGAAGCAGGGACCTGGAGATTATTGGGCTTTAGGAGGAAAAGAGCCTGGGCAGTTGCCATGGCCCACTGAAAATCCTTAGCCAGCTGTAGGCCCATATTTCTTTATGGTGTGGCAGCCAGGCTCTGAAGCCATAGGCCCACCTGGGACGGTCATGTAGACCTGCAGACAGCCTCAACAATAGCCAGGATGTGCTTAGTGGGGAGAGGTGTTGGCTGAAGCTGATGACTTAATGGCAGAATGGCAACTGCTGTCCCTAGCCACGTGATCTGGAAAGAGAATAATAATGAGGTATCCACCTGGGTTGAGTGGGGGATTAAGAGATGCTTGAAGATAAATCCTGAGATCTTCAGGAGAGAAGAAGCTTGAGATGCCAGAAGCCTGAGATGCCCTTCCGTGATGACCATATAAGCTGTGTCTGATTATTCCTTGTGGCTCCGTACCAGTCCAGTTAGGGAAAATAGTTTTCTATGTTGGGGCCCATGGGCTCTAACAGCCAACAACAGGTATTTTTGTTTTTAGACTTTTTCATTTCTTATATACCTTGAATACCACTGCTAAGACTTCTGCCTGTAGCATCAGGGGTCCCCTCTCTAGGCTTTTAAGTTTGGCCTTAATGTCAGGAAACTCTGGGAGAAGTAGGTCACGAGGACTTGCCTTCCATCAGGGGTCTCAGACTCCAGATTAGTATGTTGTAAGAGAGCTCTTGTAAGACAGTCTAGAAGTTGAGACAGGTTTTCATGTTTGTCCTGGACGACCTCTTGGACTTTTTCATAATTTACTGCTGTAAATTACTGAGTGTTCTAGTTCCATTTGGGGCTCTGGTTGGGGACTACTTCATCCCCATCTGGGTGGGCAGTGATTATTTGGTAAGTTTTATCTGCATGTACCCTAGCCTGGTCCCAGATTCACCTGCGCTCCTCAGCGAGAGAGTTGTTGGTGAGAATCACGTAAATGCCGTGGAAGATGAGGTTGTAAGATTAGGTAATATATTGGAATTCTTTTATAAAGTTAGAGGGCTTATTGGTATAAAATCTCGACCTATTCTCTATTTCAGAGAGATCACTTAATAAGACAGGAATATGTACCCTGATCAAGCCATTCATCCTTGCAAACTCCAGCAAAAGGAAAACTGGGGCTGGATTAGGCCAGGTAGTGGGAGGCGGAGGGGCTTCCATGGCTTGCAGTATCTACATGATGACCTTCAGGTAGGGCCTTCAGCTCTTCATGGGCAAATGTGGGGTGAGTGATAATATGGTTATTGACTTTCCGGGAATTTCTGGTATCTTTGTAGACCCCTGGATCAGGCCAAGTCATTCAACTGCAGATTTTCCCAGCATGCCACATCTGGTTGCTACCTAGCATCTCTATTTGGATCCTCCACATGCTCATGTATCTTCAGAATCCTGAGAAAATCAGAGATAGAGCAAGAGTAAAACCTCAGAGGACCTGCCTACTGCCATGAATTTCTGCCAGAAACCTCAGAACCTGGTAGCAGAGGAGAAAGCTTAGACTTGAGCAGTAAGGAGAGCTGTCCTAGGCTGGTCTTTTCATAGCGAGAACTGCAGACAATGGAAGGAGCAGATTGTAGGCTCTGTGTTCCTCGGATAACCTTGACCATCCCACCTAAAAGCAGAACCTGAGAGTTTGATGGCCACTGCATTGCTCAGCTCTTCATAGTGTGCCCATTGTTCTGCCTCTTGTGTGACTTCCTGGGCAGTGCAGATCGAGAGGGCAATGACAGACTAAGAAACAAGTGCATCCAATTCTAGGCTTGCAAACCCATGAGATACTTTGGCTTAATTACGGGAGCCTGGTGACTTGGCATCTGCATCACCCCCCCCCACACACACACACACTCACAGCTACCCTCAGCATGGTCGACAACTATTGAAAGCAGTATCACTAAAGAGTCTCTTCTTAGAGGTATATGTAACCTCAGAGAGTGGGTCTTGAGCCCCCCTCCCTTTAGGAGGCAATGTTTCAGTCCCAAAGCCACACAGCATTCTTTTTCACACCCTCGACTAGGCTCTCAAGTCCTCCACCCTTTGACTTGCTCTCCCAATTCATGACTAATCAATTGCCTCTAGAAAAAACAATTATCTGTTTTTATGTGTGTGGGTGTTCTTCCTGCCTTTATATCTGTGTACCATTTGTGTGTCTGGTGCCCCGGAGCCAGAAGAGGGCATCAGACACCCTAGAACTGGAGTTAAAGACAGTTGTGAACTGCCATGTGGGTTCTGAGAATAGAACCTGGGCCCTCTGGAACAGCAGCCAGTATTCTTAACCCCTGAGCCATCTCTCCAGAACCATCAATGGGTTGTGAAATAATAATTTGGCTATGCAGCGCTAATTATACTATTACATTCATTCCATCTGACTCTCATAATCAGCTGTTAGGAATTTTGAGATTACTTTCTGGCTCCTGCTATTTTTGCAGTGGAGAACTTTGCTCTACAAATGCAATTAGATTTCCACGGTATTTACATATTTATTTTTATTTTGTAAGGATACTTAGTTTTGGGATGACACAGGTGCACCATACCACCTCCTCCAGGTTCATATCATGCTGGTGACCCCTCTCCTGTGATGCTAAAGTCACTGGGCCCAGGGGTCATCAGCCCCAAATCCTACCCCGTGTAGCTCTACAGTGCTTCTCTGTGTGGCGCAGCAGCCATGGTGGAGGAGGAGGAGTGGTGCCGCAGTGCCCGCCCTTCTGGCTGCTTCTGCATCTTCAGGGCTGCTGACGGCAGAGCCTTCCAGCACCACATCAGAATGACACAGATTGGGTGCAATAGGAAGACCAGCCTGGTAAATGTGAAGATCTTTATTCCCTGCAGTTAATTATTTAAGTGACAGTCGTGACTCTAAACTGAAAAGCCCTTTTCACCCACCTCTGACCCACCCCAGAGTACCTCCCTGTGTGTCTCCGGGTGACAGCCACTTTTCAGACATTGTGTCTCCTCCCACACAGAGCGCTCTGGTGAGTTCTTGACTCACTCTCTTCTTCAAAGTAGTATTGTCTGAATCCCATATCTGTCTCACAGTTAAAACTACTGTACTCCAAGTAGCATGACAGCCATTCCCAGGTATGTGCCTAACTTGCCCCTCTCAATCATGTGTGTGTGTGTGTGTGTGTGTGTGTTCCTTTTCAACCCATACTTGAGCCTTTAGGCTTTTTGCAAGTTTCTTGAATTTCTGGTTGCTTTAAGAGAAAAAATTCACAGGCCAATGAGATGTCTTAGTGGGTAAAGACACAGGAAGTGATGACCTTGTTCAATCCCTGAACTCATACTCATATAGGAGGAAGAGAAAACCAACTCTCTCTCTCTCTCTCTCTCTCTCTCTCTCTCTCTCTCTCTCTCTCTCTCTCTCTCTCTCTCCCTCTCTTCCCCCACCTTCTCTCTCTCTCTCTCACACACACACACATCAAATAAATAACTAAATGTGATTTTTGAAAATAGGTACTGAAGAGATGGCTCAGTGGCTGAGAGCACTTGTTGCTGTTTCAGAGGATCTGGGTTCAGTT